TCAGATTCATCTTTCTGCAGGTGGATACCCAATTTTCCCAACACCATTTGCTAAAGAGGTTTTCTTTTTCCCAGTGGATTGACTGGTACCCTTTAGGTCAGAGGTTCTCTTTTCTACATCTGAGAGTCAATCTTGTGCATGATCTAGTCTGCTTTTGATATTTTCAAAAGAAGTTTTGATTTCCTGTATTACAGACTTCATTTTCAACAATTCCATTTGATTTTTTTAATGATGTGTATCTTTTCTTTCAGATTTGTGCAAGAACTTTCTCACCTCTTGGAACTCAGTGTCTCTTTTCTCCTGCATCTACTGGAGTTCATTGTCTCTCTTCTCTTGCATCTCTGTTAGCTTTGTCACTATGAATATTTTAAGTTCTTTATCTGACATTTCTATGATTTTCTTTGTGTTCTTTGTAGAGGAAGAGGAGTTATTCTTTTCCATTAGAGGAGAGCTGTTTTCTTCATTTCTCATATTTCTTGTGCCTCTGTGGTAGTTTCTGATCATCTAATGGATTATATATTTCTTCCTATTTTTTGAAGTTAAATCTGAACAATCAGAGGAATGAAGAAGGAGGTGACTTGCAATCTATAAATATTTCATTTTTCTCCTTTTGCACAACTGATTCAGTGAAAATTGAGGATTAATATGACCCTAAAAGTATTCATCTATTTGGTCACTGAGCTCCTAGACCTGTCTAGAAAATCAATGTATAGAGGCTGAGTAGAAAAGTGAGAAAGGTCAAAAGAAAAAGGAAAAGGAAAAAAAAAAAAAGAAGAGGCAAAAGAAGACAAAAACATCAAGAAAAAGAGAAGAAAAATTTTTTTTTGTCAAAGATGAAAACTGTGCAGCATGCTAGTGCGTCACATGAATGGAGGCCAGTAAGAATGCTGGGGGGTGGGGGAAGGTAAGAAATAGAAAGACAAAAGAGCAGCAGAGAGCTAAGTTTGAAACTTAAAAATAACTAAAAATAGAGATGGAAAGAGACAGAATAAGTAGGGTGATCTAACCTGGCTCTTGACTAGACTGGAGAGCAGGAGAGTGAAGTCTGGGCAGATGGTCTTCGGTGGTTGAAATCCCTGAATAGGGCTGGTAAGAACTCAAATATAGATGGCTGCTAATTGGTTTATCCTGACTCCTGGCTAGGCTGGGGAACAGGAGGGTGAAGTCTGGGCAGAGGGTCTTTGGTGGTTGAAATCCACCAAAGGATTATCTTTTTCTTCTTCTTCTTTTCTTCTTCTTCCTTTTCTTCTTCTTCTTTGAGAGGTTTTTGCTATAGGGCGCATATGCTCGCCAGAAAGACAGAGAGAAACAGAGAGACAGAAAGCGAGAAATCACCCCCCAGGGGGGATGGCCACGCTGCAATCGTTTCTCCTCCATTCTCTTCTTGGGATCTTGGGCACGCATGCACACGGGCCTGGCGTGAGTTTAAGCCACTGGGTCTGAGACTCGAACCGCAGCTGACTACACAGGAGTCCAGTGACATAGCCATTATGCTAACTGCTTGTCCCTCCACCAGAGGATTATCTTGAGGAAGACTTTGAAGGAAGAAAAAGATACCGATCTTTGCTAGCAGATGGTATATAACAGAATACTGGTTAGGCAGGGATGAATTAAGAAGGTTTATGTCTGACTTGTGTGCTGGGCATTTGCTTTTCAATAGTTTGAGTAGCTGACATATAAATATTTTCTCAAAAATATTTAAAACCATACTGTCTCTGTTGTAGAGTCACAAACAAAATTATAACAAATATTTTGAACATTATCTTTAAAATCCAATTTTTTGAAATTTTGAAAGTTGTTTATTAACTGTCAAGAACTATGGAGTATGAGCAAAAGTTATTTGATATGTAAAGTAAATTTTTGTGGGGAAATGTAAAAATAAATAAATATATGATAATAAAAAAGAAAAATAAATAAATGGAGAGACACATAATACATCCAAAGACCCAGAAGACTAAAGTCAACCATGACCAAATTGATACATGTGTTTAATTCAATTCTACCAATATCAAAGCAGAATTTTGAGTAGATATGTAGACAGTATCCAAAAGAAAATTTTAAATGTCAGGGGAAATGTGTATTATGAAAAAATGCATTGTTTCAAATTTTTGTGCCAAAATAAACTTGTACTTGGAAAGAAATATATACATGCTTGTACATTTATAATTCAAAAAGAAAATGGAATAAAAAGCATCAACATGTTCACATTTGTTCTTTCTGGGTGATGAAATTCTGGAAGGCATTTTTGGTGTGTGTCACCATATTAGTTTCTGTAATTGCACAACTTATCCAATGACTGTTTTACTTGCATAAACTGAAGATAAATGGTAAAATACAGTGAAAAAACTAAAACTGCACCAGAAATACATGATCTTTGCTTGAATGGGGAAAAACTGTGCATGTAAGTAGACTTCACCTGATGACTCTTCTACATTAAATTCCTATGTAATTGGGTTCAGTCCCAAGCACCAGACATGTAGCAGACTCACCATGGAGAAGCAGCACAGTCTGGCTTTCATGTGATTAGTGCCTGTCAGGCTCTTTCTTTCCCCAGGGCCTTCTGCAAAGCTTTCTTCACTTCCTTGTTGCGCATGCTGTAGATGATGGGGTTGAGCATGGGAGTGAGAACCACATAAAGCACGGATAGCACTCGATCTCTCAAACGTGAATATGCAGAGCTGGGAAGGATGTAGCAAAGGACTGAAGTGAGGTAGAAGATGCAAACTATACTAATGTGGGCACCACATGTAGAAAAGGCTTTTCTTCGGCCCTCAGCTGAGCGAATCCTGACAACAGCAGCCACAACGTATATATAGGAGATTACAACCAAGGCACAGGGTGCAAGGGCCACAATAAAACTGAAGAAGAACAGGGCAAGTTCATTGGCCCGGGTGCTTGAGCAAGAAAGTTTGAGCAGTGGAGGGAGGTCACAGAAAAAGTGAGTGACAAGGCGAGGCCCACAGAACTTGAGTAGAGCTGCGAGGATGGTGTGGGTGAGTGCATTGGTTAAGGCAAGCAGGCAGGAGATTGAAGTAAGTCCTGTCCGGGTCCGTCGGCCCATGAGAACTAGGTAGTACAGTGGCTGGCAGATGGCTGCATAGCGGTCATATGCCATGGCTGTGAGAAGGAAGCACTCCCAGGGTGCCAGAAAGTGAAGAAAGAATATCTGGATAAGACAAGAATGATACGGCATGGTTCGCACTGCAGCTAGCAGATGCACCAGCACCTGAGGCACTGTGTTGGAGATATAAGCAGCGTCCAGCAGTGAGAGATTGCCCAAGAAGAAGTACATGGGAGTATGGAGTCGGGAGTCCAGTACAATAAGGCTGACAATGCCCAGGTTCCCAACTATAGCCACTATGTAGATCAATAAGAAGACAGCAAAGAGAAGGGGTCTCAACTCTTTTGTATCCGTCAGACCTTCCAGAAGAAACTGGGACACTAGAGTCTCATTCTCCATCTGCATGGAACCATGCACAGAAACCTGCACCTGTAGAGTCCAACTCAGAGTCAGATAAAGCTCTATGTTTGGAGTTCCAACTTACAAGGGGATATGGGAGTGAGGGAAGACTCAAGGACAAAGCAGGCAGATTTAAGACTTAAAGCAATATGACTCAGAATTGGAAGATTGAGGTGAGGCTCAGGAGACTAGGGGTAAGGTAGAGGCTAGGAGAATGGAAATGGTAGCCCTATCAGCCCCCACACCAAGAGGAGGTGCACAGATCTTGAAGTCACAGTCACAGTGACAAGGCCTGCCTGCAGAGCTAGAGCACATGCCTCCTCCTATAAGGATATCAAAGCTAATTCACCACCATCTATTATCTAAATAAGGGACCTGGAACTTGGTAATTGTCTGAAATGGTCCTCTTATTTTCCAACCAACAACCCAGGAGAACCCCAACCCAGAATCAGGTTGAGACAAAAGTCAGGTCCCGCCTTTCTCCTGCTCAGTACCTTTCAATGCCCCCCATCTCAAGGCCCAAATTCTCCTCATAGACTACATGGCCCTCTGTGATGCATCTTCTCCTCTTCTCCCTGACCATCAGGCAAGAGGTTCATCAGGTCCCTGCCCTATGCCTCATCATCAGACTTACTCACAGCAGCAATCACTCTTGCCTAGTTCTTGCCTCAGTAGAAGAGGGCTCTACTCTCTTATTCCAAGGGTAATTTCTACAACTGCTCTCTTTTATCTTAACCTTTGGTGATCATTTCACATGTTAGTACACTTAAATATCACCAAGTTATTGATTTATTTTGTGTCATATAAATTTCACCTCGATAAAAGAAGACAAAGAAAAGACTACTCCAAACATACAAAAGCTGAATCATTAGTTGTTAGCAAAAAATCTACACAACACAAAAATTTAAGGACAATTCTCCACGGATGATACTAGATAGAACTTGAATCTACCCAAAGGAATAAAGAATCCCAGGGACAGAAAATGTGTAGGTAAATGTAAAACATTTTTCATATTTTAAAATTGCTTTAAAACATAGTAAACTGATGATCAACCCTATTAAAAGATGGGAGAATGAGTTGGAAAAAAAAAAAACACTCTCTAACAATGACATACGAATACCCAAAAGGCATATGAAAAAATGTTCAACATCCCTCATTGTAAGGGAAATGCAGATCAAAACAACAATGAGATAACACCTAACCCCAGTCAGAATATCTAAGATTAAAAAAAAAAAAAGATAAGTGTTGGTGGGGGAGTGGTGAAAGGGGAACTCTTACACTGCTGGTGGGAATGTAAATTAGTCCAGCCACTGTGGAGAACAATTTGGAGAGTCCTCAGAAATCTATAAATAGGGATCAGCAGTTAGCATAATAGCTATGTTGCTGGACTCCCACGTAGTCGACCACGGTTCAAGTCCTGGACCCGGTGGCTTAAAACTCATGCTGGGCGCGTGTGCGTGCATGCCCAAGATCCTGAGAGGAGAATGGAGAGGAGAAGGGATTGCGTCGTGGCCATCCCCCCTCTGTCTCTCTCTGTCTGTCTGGAGAGGGCACACACCCTAAAGCAAAAACCTCTCCACAAACCCCCCAAAAAAAAAAAAAAAAAAAAAAAAAAAAAAAAAAAAAAAAAAAAAAAAAGTAAAGAAAAAGAAAAGGAAAAGAGAAAGGAAAAGAAAAAGGAAATCTATAAATAAAACTACAATATGATCCAGCAATCCTACTCCTCAGTATCTACCCAAAGGACAGAATTCTTCATTGGAAAAGTGCTTGCACATCGATGTTTACTGCAGCACTATTCACAATTGCTAAGACATTGAACCAACCCAAATGCCCACGAACAGATGATTGGTTTGAAAATCTGTGGCACATACACTCTATGGAATACTATTCAGCCATAAAAAAAAAAAAAACCAACAACAAAACCCTGGCTTTTGACAGAAAGTGGAAGAATATGGAAGATTTACTGCTAAGTGAAGTAAGCCAGGCTATGAAGGAGAGACATTGTATGTCTCCACTTAATATATACCGAGTGTCCACACTCTCTGACTGAAACTGACTGACCAAAGAATATACAAACACAACAAATGCATGTAAATACCAGATATAATGTGTGTGGAAGAGTAGGGTCTGAGGAAGGACATTTAGAAGAAAAATACGGAGGCAAAGCTTTAATGGGACAAAGAAATGTGGTATTATCTGTTAAAGATATTTTATAGTTTAATCAACTGGACTAGGGAAAAATGTTCACATATTGAAATATTCACTTTGTAAGCTATAAAAGGTAATTGAATGTATAAAAAAGGAAATAAAAAAAGGAAAAAAACATAGTAAACTCTTTAGAAAAAAAAATAATAATGTTTATGGGATGTGTATAGCCTCTATATAAATAAAATGCGTAACAAAATAACCCAGAGAACATGAGGAGGTAATTGGAAGTGTATTGTTGAAATGTTCTTGTATTGTTAGTGAAATAGTGTAAAATAACTTGCAATTTATCTATAGCAATGTAAAATACATATTAGAAATCTTAGGTCTGGGGCCAGCAGGTGACGTGGGTTAAGGTGCTGGACTCCCACATGATCAACTGCAGTTTGAGTCCTGA